TTAATAACAATTTAAAAAATTTCAATAAATCCCCATAGTTACACAAATGTAATAAATTTTTCAAAATTTTTCATAAAACTTCATTTTTGAAATTAAAAGATATAAATTATTTGAAAGTTTATTAAAAATGCATTAAATAATTATTGAAAATTATTAGAATATTTTGGAAATTTTAGGAAAATTTATTACATTTGATAGATTTTGTAAAACCATTGAAAAATTATGTAATTTTCATTGCAAATTATTGAAAATTATTAAAGATAAATGACTATGGGAAATGGAAAACTATAATTTGAATAAATAATTACATAAATTATTAAGATAAATTAGTATAATATTGTAAAAAGGAAATTATTGGTTAGTTTATATAGAAATTATAAGATAAATTAGTATAATTTTGTAAGTAAACCATTTAAAAAGAAAATAAATTATTTAATAAAAATTTTGAATAAATTTTTAAAATTACACAAATACAATAAATTTTCCAAAATTTTCATAAAATTACATTTTTGAATATTAAAGACAATTTAGTGTACTTTTAGAAATTTACCATGTGGTTGATACTCAATATATCATTTTGATCATTTCTACCATCAAATTGAATATTGGGTTTATGGGGACAGTGTTTTCAAAACTAGATGGTTAGACCGAAAAAAWTGAGAATTGGGCACCGTTTCACCTCAAAACCGCTTTTTGTCCAAAAATCGTTTCTTTGGTTAGCGAACCGCTGACCTGGGCGGTTGAACCGTCAACCTGGACAACAATTTTTGGCTATTTTTGTTTTTCTAATTTTTTATTTTTTTTGTCAGAGCGGGGTTATCCGTTCGGACTGAACAGTCGGACCGTTTGACCCCAGAAAGGTTTCCTATCCATTGCAATTTTAAAAACCTTAAACGGGGAGTGGGTGCCTTGCCTTGAGCTTGGCTTGGTGTGCGGCATGGCCTGGCCTGGCCCAAGGCCCGACTCATGGACCAGCCCTACCCACGGCACAGCACAGGCCCGTGCGGACTCGGGCCGTGGGTCGTGCTGAACCGACCCCCCAAATTATTCTAAAGGAGGGAGGCACGGCCTGGGACGCCTTGTGGGCCAGTACAACACAACTCGTACTTTGTGCAAGCCACATGCGGGTCGTGTCTTGCCGACCCAACATGACCCAATTTACACCTCTACTTGAACCCGCCCAATACTGGGGACGGGGCAGGGAAATTCGAGGATTCTCCATCCTTGATGAGGAGTGGGGTGCCTTTCCCCTAAATTCGACTGGCATTGAGGAGTGGTTACCTTGCCCTGAACCCGCGTGACATTGGGGACGGGGCGGGGATGGGGTAGAGTGTCTTGACTATGGGGTAGGGAAAGGGATGGGGTGCCCTGCCCTGAACCCACCCCGTTGTCATTCCTATATAATTTTTAATTATTAGTGGAATTAATAAAAATATTAGCTTTTATAATTATTTTTATTTATTTAAAGAATCAAAATTTCCTTTAAAAATAATAAAAAGAATAAAAATTATTAAAATTATTACAAATTATTAACAAAACTAAATTTATTAAAAAATATTTGTTCATATTCAATTAACAATATTTTTTTTATAAATTAACATTAACTGAAAAATAGAATTATTAAATCTTTCAGATTTTCCCATGTATTGCACGGGTCCCTGCTAGTATATATCTATATTTCAGGTTGTTGTCCCGTAGTCGTAATTGTAGTGAGGCCCTACCATTGAGGGAACCCCTATAATTCTAGCCCCTGGTGATTAAGGAATAGCCCACGCAGTGAGTAGACATGTTCATGGGCCRGACCGGGCCGGGCTTTGACTTTTTATTAACAAAAAACCGTTAGGCTCGAGCCCGAGCCCGACCCTGATAAAAAGCCCGAAGCCCGACCTAATAAAAGAAATTCAAAATTTTCCGATATTTTCTATTTTAATTTAAATGTTTTTTTCCCCTATTTAAATGAACAATGGGTCTACAAGTGAATCAATGACCTCAAATCAAAAAATTTATTCAAATAGACATCACATAGGGTTTTTACTTAGGTTTAACTATAGGTCGGGCCGGGTTTACTTAAGTTTAACTTTAGGTCGGGCCGGGCCGGGCTATTTTGGCAAAGCCCGAGCCCGGCTTGAATTTTATGCGAACCGGGCTTTTTGGCCCGAGGTTAAGCCCGTGGGCCAAAAATCCTGTTCAAGTCCGTCCGGGGGTCAGGCCGGGCCGGGCCGGCCCGTCGGGCCACTCGGCCCATGAACAGGTCTAGYAGTGAGCGTACTTTTAATAATAGTGGGTCAAAGTCACACATTAGATTTTGTTTTAACTAGAGGAGTGAATATAGTCATAGCCAACCACCCATAGTCCTAAAAAGCAAGTGAATATAGTCATAGCCAATCACTCATGCCCAATTTGTGTTTGTGATGATTGTTTCCCTCCTCATCCTCCTCCTCTTCCCCATTCTTCTTTTAATGACTAAGAATATGTTTGCCTAAGCGGCTAGTACCACCCTTGCTACTATAACTAAAGTCACTCCTACATTTACGACAAATAACTCTTTTTCCCTTACCCTCAACCTCTTCTATGGTTAATATTTCCTAGACCAGGCTAGTCAACTTAGTGCCCTTCTTTTTCTTTCCCCTAGTAGCATTACTAGGGGTGGGAATTCTAACAATATCAATAGCATCCATATTGATGCTAACACTATCATATTGTGACTGAATATCATCAACATTGAACATGTTGGGAAATTGGTTTCAAGAGGAACTGAACATTTTTTAATTCTAAAAAATAAAAATTAATATAATTGCAACTTACCTGGACTGTCGGTTCAAAGTCTCAACTTGATTTCAACGGTTAAAGCYTTTAAGCCTCCCAAATTGCTAACTTGAGATACTTGAACAAGCCTTCTTCTTGTTGAAACTTGAATAAAATTGAGAATTAGATAGCAGAGAGAGTATAAGAGTAGGTATATGAGAGTATGAGAGAGCATGAGAATTGGAAATAATTTAATTGCCCAGAATATCTTAAAAAACTAGTCATTTTTTAGTTGTTGGGAGGGGTATTTTGGTCATTATAAAGCCAATTACCACTTTACCCAAATGCCCTCAAACTAGTTGTTATATAGTTGTTAGGGACATTATTATCATTTTATCTCCCCAAAGCCAAAATACATAAATACCCCCTAACTAGTTGTTTAATACCTGCCCCCCTCCCCCCCAATAAAAAGCAAAAACTAGCCATTGGGGGTCCCAACGACTAATTTCTATGAACAGGTCATGCTTGGCCTACTATGGACCCATGGACTGTGTCGGGCCGTGCCATGCCAGCCCATGGGCTTGGAAACGTAAGTCCAACATGATTCGCATGCCATCGTGTTGGGTCATGCTAGGCCATGGGCGGCACAACTCGACTTACAACTCTAACAATGGACATCACCATTAAATATTAATGGAAAAAAGGAAATGTTTAATTTGCCCCCCATTATTTCTCAAATCTTCAAAATAAAACCCATTTGATGAAAAATTTTAAAAACCATAAGAGAGTCCATCGTCTTCCTAGAAACATTCATCGTTAAACATGAATGAAAACGCTTACCTACTGATGCATTTTTACTTAATTTTTTTTTTCGATTTTGGTTCAGATGGGCCAGTTTAAGTCCTGGCTATCCTTTGAACTAGGCCCTGACCCGATACAACCCCTGTAGGGCGTATCGGGAAGGACCCGATACGCATCGGTCGATACGGGCCGATATGTAACGATTTTATGAACCTTGCCTGGAGCCACATCCAATGGTAACCTCTCTCTCTCACACACACACACAATTCTCAAGCCCTATTTAATTTCACTTAGAATAAGCACTTGTTTTAACAAGTAATTATTTTAAGTGTTGGGACCATACATTAAGTGGTAAAGAAGTACTTATGTGTATTTGGTAAAAAAGTAATTAAGTACTTTTTTAAAAAGAAATACTTATAAAAAAAGTGACCTAAGAGTTGCTTTTTTTTCAACACTTCTTGGAGAAGTGCTTTTTCAAATTGAATGGGACGATTCAGTCCCTAAACATTTTTTAATGCCAGTTTTACCCCCAGGTGAGGGTTTTTTCCCTCCTCCTGTTTGAACACAACARACGCATGGGATGGCGAACTCGGTTGCAGGTCCACCGACGATGATCGATGGCACAAAAAAACGGCCGACAAACCTATCATTTTGCAGTCTTGACTCTTTTTGTGCATATTTATTTTCGATTTAAAACACTATGGGAAAATCATCCCCATCCTTACCCCATTTGAGACAGATTCCCACGGAGATCAGGAAAATAAGAAAAACTGTCATCTCTAAGTTTGATAAACAACTCTATCTAAAATTAATTATTATTATTTTTATATTATAAAATATTATTAAAAAATATATAAAATATAAATAATTATTAAATAAAATATTTGTATACTCTTACATATTTCTATTATTTATCTTTAATTTAACAAATCCCATACATCACATGCAAACTGATTGTAGGAACACGGAAAGGGTTTTGAAAATTAAAGGGTCATAAAGACGAGTTTTTGTCCATTTGCTAATCCATAATCTTTGATTATAAATTTATAATTGCCCTTCCTTCCATAACAGAACAGTTAAACCATCAAAGTCCAATGGGTTGTCAACATGTTACATCATAAATAGGTAATAAATAGATAAAAACGCCGAAAGAAAATTACGGAAATTTGGATGTCAAATCATCTTTTTTGTGGAGCCCAAGTTTGTAAAAGAAAAACAAACGTTGTGGAAAATGCATAATAAGCACCACCAACCATCTGAGGGCTTTTAAAATGGCGGGAGGATCATTCCAAGTCCAACAAGCAACAAGAAAAGCAAGCAGGGGAGAGTATCTGGCTATCCGCCCATTGTGATTCTGCAGAAATCCTTCTTCCTAGCTAAACTTAACGGAGCCCAATAGGATAGGATAATTCGGTTGCACAAAGCATGACCAAAGGATAAAGGAAGACAAAAACTTGGTCAATAAAATATTCAAATGCATGAACAACTCTGTAAATTACCATTTATGTCAACAATAATTCATTTTTTGCTACAGACTCATGGAATAAGGAAAGAACTGGAAAACAGTAATTAAGAACATGAATAGAAGGTTATGACAACATATATATATATATATAACAGATGATGACACGTTGTGCATGGCATGTGGGTAATGAACGCATGAATGAACTGTAAAACCCATTCAAGCCCATGCTAATATGGCTAGGACACGTCCTTGATCAGACCCAACTGGATTCAGGCAACTCACAGTATCCAGAAAGACCATACAGATTATTGAATGTGGGGTTGAAGAATAATGCGGGAGGGAGGGAATGAAGGGAGGCTGTCAACTGTCAAGAGGGCTGCACCCTCCGAGCATAGGCCAACACCATCACGAAATCTTTGGCTGAAGTGCCAACGGTTGCTGTCACTCTTTGTGATGTACCTCCTGTCCGTCGCCACAACTCTACCAACTCATGCAGTTGCAATGTAGGGTCCACTGGCTGACTCCGGCAACTGATCTCAATCTGTAAGAAAACCAACCAAAACAATCACAACTCTCACATGCATATACAAAATGACCAAGATAAACAATCCCTTCTGGTATGCATGAATCCATGGCCAAACTTTTGTAAAGATGAAGGAACACTAGCAGACATCTTTGACAAAAGTCATGAGAAATGGTCTAACATAATACTCTTTAGAACAATTAACCCCTAAACCATGATTGTACTATAAACAGTAATTAGTGGAATTACTATAAATAGTAATCCAGAAAGTTAAATAATAATTTTCTAGAAGAATACCATGTCTACTATAAACTGTCAAATTTAATATAAAATCATATGGGTCAGCAAAAAAAATCCAGGTTTTAAAGGTCCGGTGTGGATTTTGTTTTTTTTTTATTCTTTTTTCATTTTCTCATCCTACCACAGAGAGCTTACTGCCTTGTATTGGGGAGGTTAACATAAAATCCAAGAAATGTAGTTCTCCATTCCACTTGGCAAATAAGTCTCTCAAATTTTCCATTTCAATTACATAAGATAGCTTCCCGCCTCAGGTTGAGGAGGTAACATAAAAACCCAAGAAATATTCTCTAGAAGTGTTAAGTATCATTTAACTATTTTCTTTACAAATCCCAATGTTACATACCAAAAGAACAAAAATCATGTGGCAATGCACAAGAAAAGCAGTGGTTTGCCACTGTTTGGGCAGTGCCTGAGGCAGAGATAAAGAAATTAAACTTCTATAGTTGAATGTTTAGTTTCTCAGTGCCTGCAACTGATGGCATCTCAACCAAAACTAAGTTGGTTGCCCTATTTGCAAGGAGCTGAAGAGTCAAAATTGGAATTTTGAGAAATTTTATATATTTCTGTATATTTGGACACCAGGGGTAATTTTGCCATTTTACAATTTTTTTGTAGGGTCAAATAATAGGGTTTGGTTGTCCATTTATAGTTTGTTTATGTTAAAAATTTCAGTCATTGCATAAGTAGGAGCAGAGTTATTGAGTCTTCTTTGAATTGAAATAGGATATGACAGCTTAGTTTGAGTCCTACTAGGATTATTGAGTCTAAGAGATTGACTCCTAGGATTATTGAGTTTAGAGTCTATAAATATGTATGGACATTTTACACAAAGAGCAATGAAGTTTATGGAGTTTTCTTCAGCTTATGCTAATTATGGTGAGTGGTTCTCATACCCTAGAGTGATTCTAGGCATCCCATGAGTGATTCCGGGTATTTTCTCTCTTCTTTCTGTTCCTATTTTCTTTCTTGTTCCTTCAAGAAGCCATTACAGACATCAGCAGCCATAAATTTCTGATCAAAGATGACCATTCAACTTTCTCGAAGGACTAGAATTGAGCTGGTCCTACATCAGGCAATGTTGTAAAAGAATGACTTTTAAAAACAAACTAAAGGGATGTAACCAGCATGTTGCTGGATGATTTGTCTCCTACATTTCCATTTTGGAGGAAATCAGCAGACAACTAATTGCCTCTTGATGCTTTTTGTAAAGGAACATTGATCTGCTTTCTGTGAAGGAATAATAATGAACTCACCTCATCTTCATTAGTAAGATCAAGTTTCTTCATGAGGTACTTCTGTATAAATGAAACAGGCACATTGCCATCCCTATGACAAAGAAAACAAATCAACACGAAAAACTCAGAAAAAAAGAGAACACAATTCAATGGCAACTTTATTCATTACTTCACCTTTTAGATAGACAAAGTTTCAAGAATTACTATCAGCAACACCAACTGAGATATTTGTACTTAAATATCAATAGAATGATACTTGTTAAATTAGTTCGTTACCATCTCTTACAAAGCAAGACTTAACTCAGACCATTTTGCAGAAAGCAAAAGAAATCAATAAACAATAGGATGCAAAAAAGAAAAAAAAAYCACTAAAAAGAACAAAGAAAATGAATGAACTGAAATAGTCCCAACCAATATTTTGACAATTTCTTCCCAAAATAGGCTTTATGCAATTGCATCCAGCTTTTCGGTAACAGGTTCACATGGTTTAGCAGGATGATTTAATGTTAAGACATCATAGCTTTAAGCTTAGTACCTCAGTTTAGCAACAATATACAATGTTAATGGACCTTGTCTCTGGCTAGCAACCCCATAATGTTGATCAGCACCCCCTTCCCCTAATGTTGACATGCAGAAGCCAGAAATAAACAAGCTTACATCTACTAGTTCCTTTTATCAGGTATATGTTACGTAACATACTAATCAGTCTCCCTGGACTATTTACTTGTTTCACACTAAGTGAAGAATGATTCATATGCATGGATGGTGCTCATGTATACCCTTACCCTTTCCTTCAGTTAATCTAAAAATTATGGTCCTTAGGAAACTTGGTTTGGTTTTGCATTGATAAATTTTGTATTCCTACCAAATGTATTCGGTTGTGATGGGTACAGACAAATTTCAAGACCAGAATCTACCTTGTTTACATTGACCAGCTTTGAGTGCAAAAGTTTGCTTCCATTTTTTGGAAGCAAACTTTGCTCTCATTTTGAATGCAAACATGTCAGGGAAAAAATGCAATTTTACTGTCATTTTCAGTACAAGAACATATTCTTACCAAATGCCTGCAAAACTGAACTGGAATGCAAGCTCGTTTGGTTCAGCATTTGAACTCTTACCAAACACAGCCTTATGTTCAGTCAGAGATTTGAAGAAAAAGAACTTATAGGACAAAAAGAAAGAACATCCTTTGGAAACTTCTCTGCATTTTCCATTCTTGTGTTTTAATGAAATGGCTCAGTGATTAAAGATGTTGTAATGGTTATTAGGGAATCCTCACTTCTTTCGCAGTTTCGCACCATAAGCATTATTAAGGAACCTTCCTTTTGTTTTCTACCCACCCTATTTGGTAGTTACATTAAAGCTAAGGCTCAAACTGAACAAGATGAGGACCTCGTGATCTATTTCCAGATTGATATAAATCAAGAAGATGAATAAAAAATAAAATTACTCTTTCTAAAAAAAGAAAGAATAAAAAATAAATAGATGATCCAAATTAAAGAAGTATATGGTGGGAAGTGTTGTCTCCAAAGAAAGCACGGGAAAATTACAAAATGAAAACAATAATGGGAAATCTGTGGCTAGATGGATGCTTGCAAAATAGCTTCTGAGATCTTGCCTCTGCATACCATTTTCCAATAGCAAACCTAAGGAACCTTTTGACATGTGATTATGAAGAGGCAGGAAAGAAATTGGTTAGTATAAAAATTTCATTACATATCGGCCGATAAATATTGTGGGAAGTAACCGACATACTAGGCTTTTGGGGTTTTGACTATTTTCAGGGGGTAGGCAGGCCTAAGACTGACCCCCTGACCAAATCTGAGGAAAAAACTAAAAAAAAAAAGTTTTGTTGCTTTAAACACTGCATGAATGTATATATCAGGTGTATCGATACTTTGAACCATGTTGTCAACTAATGGAGTACTTCTACCTTGTGGTCTAACTCTTTGGAATGTAGGAGTATTTTTTTTATTCTTTGTTTTTACATTTACAAAGTTCCTTCAATTGTTGTAAGAAAGAAAGTGGCTCGTGAAACAGTCCATGTTTACTCGGTTATATGATATATCCACCTAATTTACCTTCTATCACATTAGTATGTTTCATATACTAACAGGTGTGGATGGCAGTGGTGGGGAAACCATGGACGGAAACAAGAAGGTAGATACTCCAATAGGAGAAAAATGGAATCCAAACAAGCAATCTTAAGAGGGAAAATGGGATTACAAGGAAGTTGTTTAGCTGTAGGAGATCTACGAATGGCAGGAAATAGATGGAGTGACTCTAGAAATGGAATAGTATTAGTTAGGTTAGGCCCAAGTGATTTGTAATCATCCAGAGAATTATGAAATTCAATAAATTCCTAGGCTACTTTTTTGCACATCTCATTGTCTTGTTTACCAAGAATGATCAACAATATGGTTGACTCATTCTCCAGAGAAGCGACAGTAAAGTCATATCCATACTGCAGCATTATTCTTGATGGGTAACTGGTTGCTGTGCTATTTCTTTCTTTCTTTGTATTTCTCCTCATCTAAGATAAATATATTAAAGAGGATTTCAATACATTAGTCTGTGCCACATTCTTTCAGATGAAGCAGGTTACAAGTTACAAATCATACCTAAGTCTCCTAAATCAAATAAAAAAATACCTAAATTTACCATGTGGATAGTGGGTTCTAAACAAAACATGTAGGTATGGTTGCCCTGTACTCAGTATGTGGTGGTTATTAACTAGTTTTCTTCTCTAGTGAAGTTATCAGCCATTCATCAAAAAACCAGGAGTAAAAATCAAATTTATTGCATTCGATTGAGGAGAATGTGGACTGAAGAGTTAAGCTCTTGGTCCTTGTGGTATTGGGGTCTAGGGAAGGCAATGGGTTACATTTGGTATGGGCTGGGCTTTAACCAGAACCCAACCTGACATGACTTAATCCAACGCGAATCCACCTGCCCCATGAATCAAGCAGGGCAGGATAAGACTAGGCAAGAATATAAAATATTAACAAAGAAGAAGACAAAAGTAATAGGGAAAAGGTAAAACAATTGATGTCTACATAATAGTTTAAATGGTCAACCATATGTTTCTTTCGGTCCTCCAATAACCTCTTTCCCCAGCCTTACAAAATGGACATCCATAACTTATTTCTGGGCACAGTATGAAAGAGGGATAGACAAACAATATACATTAGAAAATTGACACAAATTTGCAAGAAGGCCAGTCATTTGGTTCTCCTCTCTGAAGATGTCCAAGGCCTTGATTTCATATGACAGTAATTTCCTCCATTTTACAAAATCCAGATCAACCAAGTGAGTTGAAGTGTTTAACTTGGGAATTAGCATACATGGTGGTTTGAACTTTAAGGAAGACCACATAAAGGGTCTAAATAATGATCCTATGCAAGTCCAGATAATATTATAGTGATATGGAATACGAGCAGGTGCAAAAGTTGAGATAAATTTTATACTTTTTCCTGCAATGGACTTCAATGGAGTAGAATGATGAAATAGGATTCATGTAACCATCAAAAAACAGTTGGGACAAGGCTTATGAGTTAATTTCTATATTTTATTTACTTTTTTGCAGTATGGGCATTTTTATAATTTTATATTTATGTGAGCTCCAGCAGCGAGTTCAAGTCAATTGAATATTGCCATATAGTATTTAAGTGTCTTGTGTCAGTTATCATGATTTAAGGCTTTTTTCTGCATTCTATCTGAGTCTTTACTAATAAAATTTAAACTTTCCACTTTATTCAGGCCTGACCACCCAAATTAATGTTATAACTAAAACATGTATATGATTTTAAGAGAGGACATCCATATAGATTTTTTTTTTTTTTTTTTTTTNGGGGGGTGTAATTGCTACAAGCTTTTGATTCCAAACCCAAGAGTATGGAGCAGAGGTTTAGGCAGTCAAGAAAAAATATGTCCAGAAAATGAGTGTAGCAGAAATGCAAAAGCTAAGATGGATGAGTGGAAAAACTAGAAAGGATAGGATCATGAATGAAGTCATCTAATAGGAACCTAGGAGTAGCCCCAATAGGTGATAAAATGAGAGAAAGTAGACTAAGATGGTTTGGTCACGTGCATAGAAGACCATCAATAGCATCAGTTAGAATAAGTGATTTGTTACAAGTTGAAAGGGCTAGAAAGGCTAGGAGTAGACCAAAAAGGACATGGGTAGTAGTAAGAAATGATTTAACAGTGGATATGGCTTTAAATAGAATGGCTTGGCAAAACAGGATTCCTGTAGCCAACCCCATATAGTTGGGAAGGATTGATTCACAGAAAGCCTTTTCTATCAGAATATATGAAGTCAAGAATAATATGTTTCAACCTTTGAAGTAAATTCCGCCAGATTTGGAGCAAGCCCAGCCAAATTGATTCATCTCTAAGTTTGATAAAACTACTTGCAAGATTTTGCAACTTCCTTCCAATTTCTCAGAATATCATCCGTAGTTACACAAGAAAAGGATTCAAGAGATCTGAGCCAGTGAACCACCCTGATCATTATTACTTCAATCAAGTAGTCTTCCTTATTTCTTTCCTTGTCCAAAAATAATCTTGAATTCCTTTCTTCCCAAATTGTCCATAGTATCGTCACTCTAATGCATCTCCACATCAGTCTTCCCCTCTTGTATTTGCCCTTACCCTACATTCTGTTCAGGTTCTTTGACCTAATTCCAGCTCTAAACCTATCTACCCAGTTTCTGCATTGTACTGCCTACTCTATATCAAAATGTCAGACTTTCAAACCCTAAACCTAAAATTAAATCCAATTTAATTTAATTTCAGTCAGGAAATCCTGATTTCCAAGACCAACCAGCATTGGAAAAATCAGTAGAAATAAGAAATTAAGAGGGAAGAAATTTCACTATATCCATACTAAATAGTGAAAAGGTAGGTAAAACAGAAAATGTGCATCATAGAATCATGTATTGGACAGTATCTTAACAATCACATAAGACCATATTGAACAAACAACTGAAGTAAAGGCAACTTTTAAGTAATAGCATCTTGCAAAGAACTTTTTAACATGCCAAACAAAATGTAGATAGGGAAAGCTAAAGAGCTATAACTGACGGTGATTGCATTAAACATAGTGGGACAAAAGAAACTCACTTTATCCTCAAGTAAGATGCGGATATCTGTGGCAAGGGAGCATTTCCTTCCCTGAAATCATTTATCATGTCATCAGAAGACAAGCGTAGAAGCAAAAGGTATGATTACCAAAAGAAAAAGGTTCCTTCAAATTCAGAGTTTGAGGTGGTTTCTTACTGGTCTTCAGAAGCCACTAATGAGAACCAAATTGGACCAATTCTTCTATCACGTTTGAAGCTCGCAGCATCAAGCACAGATTGTGCTGACATGCCTAGATCCCTGGAAGCAGATCCCCTTTTTCGGCCAATCCCATGCAACTTTCTAGGCTTCCCAGATCCTGGAGGAGCAGGGGTAGTGCCATTTTTGTTATCCTGGACTTTTGACTTATGGCCCTGTTGTTTAATCTTTGTCTTAGGCACAGCTATGTCACTGCCAGTGACAGAGTCTGGCTCTGATTTGGTAACGGAGCTTTGTGAATTGAACTTGAAGGACTTTGTTCTATTTGCAGCTTCAACAAGGCAATTTAAGGGCTTCCAAAGATCTGCTTTCCCACCCCATGGCTCAGCACCATTCTCTGTATCTTTACCAGTTGAGTTGTGGTTAGATGCTTCGTTGGTGGATGAACTCTACAGAAGTATAGTAGTTAGACACACAAAGTATAGTAGTTAGACACACAAAGTATAGTAGTTAGACACAAAGAAGTTGACGAGTATGAGCATATAAGTACGACTTTCTAATTGGCTTCTTACCTGTCTCTTATTTTGAGCTATCTTGTTTAGAGTCTCAGGTGAGCTTGAGCTCCCTGGACGATCTTCCAGTGAGTCTTCCTCCTTTTTGATGGGCTCATCAATGGAAAAGCTAGATCCTCGTAAAGCAGCAGCCTTTCTTGCAACAGCTTTTGTTCTTCTTCCAGTCAAGCCAGTCTGTGTTGATACTCGAGGGGTGCTAACCACCAAAGATGAAAGCGACCTCTCCTTTCTTCTAACTGGCAATGAAACAGAAGGCACAGCTTCAGGTGCCTTMACCTTTCTTCTTTTGAAAGGGAAAATTTTGGCCCTCACATCCTGCAGATTATGGTCAGGCCTGCAGATTACAAAAATTCAAGAGCATAAATACACGGAAATGTTTATCTTTGCTGCACAGGAATGTCCTAAGGAAAAGATGGAAATCATAGCATAAAATAGATGTTTATTCATACCAAATAAGAAAGGAAAAAATGATAACTTATATGGAGAACTGTCCCTCTAGATTCCCTTGAGTGCAGGAACTGGACACATGTCCAACACAGACACTTCTGTCAATTTTGGAGAGTCCATGAAACACTTCTATTATAGCATATAACCTATATATTTCATTGGTAGAGAAAATGAAAGTATATCCCATGTTAATGACTTAATGTTATATACTAAGATAACAAAATGTTTTTATTCTGACTTTTTCCTTCCATAGTTGCATTTTGTGTTTATGTACACAAATTCACATCTAAACAAGCATAGACCACCACAAAATTTTTAGTCCATTTATTTTTTTATCACCATCTTTCATCACACTCTCTCTTGCACAGCCACTAAACTAGTACACACATATATGTACACATTTATAGACTTAAATGTTCTCTGTATTAAAGCTCATCTTTTCTGTTCCAAACACATAAATCACCAAGATTAAAACATTCTCAGATTGAGAACTTGGTATCAGAGCCAAGTTTAGAGTAGATTTTTTTCTCCCTCATGCAGTATTAGTCCAGCCGACTGCAGTGTTGTTGCTGCTCAAGAATGAAGCTTATAGAGGGTTCCAGAAGTTGGCAATACCAGAGAAAAGGTGAGGTTTTCTGTGAAGCCTGGGAATCAACCCGTGACAGGAAATTGGCTTCTGCCCATCTCAGTTTTGTTTTTCTGATGTTTGGATGGTCCCTGTGAATCTGTTTTGGAGATTAAAGGTGCTTACTGCGTAGGACTATTTCCAGTCCCTCTAAGGAGATTGCAATTATATTTTTCCTTTTTTTTTTCTTTACCCAAAAGGGCTTCAGAATAACTTGTAGGCCTTGCTAACTGCATCAGAAGTTTCTTTTGGGATTTTGTCTATTGGCTATAGTCGAACATTCATATGGTGATTAATGGAGACACAGAGAGAGGATCAGAAGCAGGACGGTGATACCTTTGGAAACCCGGTGGTATCAAGTGACCCCTTTGCATCACAAATCACCATTGTTAGATTGAATGGGTATAATTATCTACAGTGGCCACAGGCTGTGAAGAATCTGAAGATATACATTAGGGGTCATTGAAAGAAAAGGAACCAAATGTTCAGGACCCTAAGCATCCTAAGTGGGTTCAAGAAGACATGATGGTCGTGTCTTGGCTCATTCATCCTATGCAGCCAAATATCAGCCAAAGCTTCGTGTGGATGAAGACATCCAAGGAGATATGGGACAATGCAGCCAAAACATAACAGACCCATGAAGCTCACTTCTCTCTACAACAAGAGAATCAAAAAAACACAGGAAGACTCCTGAGACAAAAAAAAAAAGAGAATAATTGATCATCAACCTCTTTTCCTCTTTTACTCCCTGGTCTATTTTTCTTGTTCATATTCAGTTCCTAATTTTATTTTTCTTCAAGTTTTCCCTTCAGTTTCTAAAGAAACCATTACCTAATGTCACTGCCAGCTATCCAAGGTCTTGGGAAGGGTGGACTGAATTTGGACCCAAACTCCACTTTTAGCACAAAGTGGCCATTCTCAGACTCAAAACATCATTCTTACAATTGTCAGTGCCAAGGTTTTGCCACTCTCAGACACAAACATATCAGTTTCTACCTTTCATTTTTTTTCTTTTTTATTAGTCTTTCTTATTTTTATCATAATTCTAGGTTATTTGTAAATTTGCATATCCAAAAACTATTCATGATGCTTTATTATGTATGTTATCTTTTTCTATACATACTATTAAAATATGACAATTTCCCATATCGTTTTCTCAGAGGACAAAGTAATGAAACATGTGGACTCTTGATATATACCCATCAATGAAACACCAACACATGTTTTATGGTTCCCACAATGTTTCCAAACTTAGCAACATCATTGTGAGTTCAGAAGGCGATTTGCATGGTTTCAAATCTATTAATCATGATAGTCTGATCTATAATATCAATTGAGTTTTCCTGTAATTTTGTTTTTTTTAAATATAATATTGTGAAATAAACAAAATAATAACTATAATTAAAATCTGTTAATTATCTTCTTGCTATTGATGTCTGTACATTGTTCTTTTTGTCAGGGATTTTTTTTTTTTTTTTGATAAATCTTTTTGTCAGGGATATTGATATGACTGCAAACATGGTTTCTTGTAAGAAGATAGTAATAAAGAAAAGTTGAATATTAGAAAGATTGTCATTGAGGGTGACTTGAAGCTTGTGATTGAGTGGCTTCAAGGAGAGTTGGAGGATGGATGGTGGTACTATATCTTTGAAAAGAGAAAAGTATTGAGATTTTTCAGGGGATGGAGGTGAACTTCAAATGGGTGAGAAGGGATGCCAATGTATTTGCTGACACTCTTGCTAAACAAGGGGTGGGAAGGGATAGCTTGTTTTGGGCTATGTTGTAATAGTTTCTTTCTCTGGGAAGGGCTAAGAGAGTTATTTTCTCCCATTTTTTTTCTTGTACCCATTATTCCCCTTCATAATTAATGAAATTGATTCTGTTATTGATAAAAACTGGTAATAAAGAAAATAACAATGAAAAGGGGAGTTTTTTAAATAAGTTCACCAGCAGAAAGTAAGTTTCCAGCCATTTGACACTGGGTACTTGACCATTTCAGGAAGCCATTGCTCTAGTGTATTTACAGGCTGGCAGCAAGGCATATTGGCTGGCATTTTGGAAGTTTTTTTTTATCAAGATCTAACTGAAATCTAGTTGTTTTTGTTTTTCTTTATTGTTCATCAGCGGATAGATGATGGCCATTTTCTGATTGTTTTTCACCGAGTCTGGGTTGCCGAAACATGGCCATTGTTCCAGTGTCTTTATAATACATGGATCCATAGACTTTGAAAACGTGTTGCTTTTTCCAAAAAGAGAAAATGTTTGTGTGTGTGTGTGTGTGTGTGWGAGAGAGAGTCCCAAATATTAGGGAAGCCCAACAAAATCAACAACACAATATTTTACCATATTAGGGAATTTGAGAAAGTCAACCAAAGGAACCTAGGAGTAGCTCCAATAGGTGATAAAATGAGAAGTAGGCTAAGATGGTTTGTTCACATGCATAGAAAACCAACTATGGCACCTATGAGAAGAAGCAATCTGTTGTAAGTTTAAGGGGCTAGAAGGGCTAGGGGCAGACCAAAAAGTACATGAATTGAAGTGGTAAGATCTACCAAAAAAAAACTTGAAGTAGTAAGAAACAATTTAAGAGCTCATGATAAAAGAATGGATATGGCATGGAACTGAACGAAATGGTGAAACAGGATTAATGTGGCCAACCCCATTATAGTTAGGATAAAGCTTAGATGATGATCATTAGGGAATTTGAGAAAACTTAGAATCACACATATTCATAGGAAACTAGTATTTATACACGTTTTCCAACTTTAAATTTAGGCAGAATGACCTCTTCAATGTATTGCATATAAACTCATAATATGCATAGAAGAATTGACTGGCATGTAGATTCCATGAAGAGAGTGAGAAAAGAGAGAAACAAATTATAGGAATAAGTCCAAAGAAGAATCTGACCTGAGTTTCTCCACCGGAACACAACCCAGATCGATGTTGCATATTGGACAGCAATCCACCTCCTCATCTGTAAGCTTCTCATATATGCACTTTCTGCAAACTAGTTTTAAGTATGAAAAACAAAAGAGTTACCAAAAATGTAGATCTTAAATGTTAAGCTTACCCTATGTACAATGTACATCAACACTATAAGAAGTGTAGCACTTAATGTCTTAATGTTTTCTTGTCAGTGACTACACTGCATAATGTGCCTCATTCCTGTACTGAAGGCTGAAAGACCAGAAGGAAAAGGAAACTAGCAACCCAAGATAGGTGAAATATAAACAAACTTGAAACTAATTCTTTAGCACAACAAATCTCATATGATTACTTGGGACATTAATGGAAGTTCAGATGAATTGCATTTCAATGAGTAGTTCACAAACAAAAGCATATGATTTTGTTTTTCATTGATAACAATGCATATGAAATTGAAAAGAACTATCACCTTTTAACAAGCAGAGTTTGGTACCAAATGATGATAAGAACTCTCTTTTCTTTAGAATCAATCCATCATAAAAAGGAAAAACAGAGCTACAACTATAGCAGCCTAACAAGGAACTTGGAAAAACTGCAACCATTATAAGCTTCTAGTGAGAAAGAAAAGAGAAAATTTCACTTAGACCAGTCACCATGTTGTGGAACTCATTCCCTTCATCTTAGGCACACAATACATCCATACGAAAGTAAAAAGACTAGATTATCCACTACTAGCATTACCATCAGATCCAATTCCAAACTTCTCTAGTGAAATAATCCAATCAGAGGAACTCTTTAGTTCTTAAGCCATATTATCTGAGAAAACTAGACTACACCAACTGGAGGGAAGACGACTGAACTTAAAAATGCAGGTAATTTACAAGTGATGATCCCATCCAGAACCTAGGTATGTAGTTGATCTACAATATTGAAAGAAAGGGGGAAAAGGAAAAGAGTGACGAAGAAAAAATAAGAATCCATCAATCTCTTAATGCTCAATTGTCGGTTGGTCAAATGTTATCACAATTGTCTTATCTCCTTGTTACATTATAATTCGCAAATTTAGAAAGACGAGCTAATGAGAACTAAAAACGCATTGTTTTAACCGGGTACATCTGTCACAATCATTAAAGATAGCAATCATAATACTTCTTAATTACTTCACTTAAATTTAACGGTATAATCGTCCTCGGACCGAACAGATAAGATTCCAAAATATGATAACAACAATGTTTCTAATGATATATGCTCATTCTCTAGTTAAGCCTTAAATTTGTGGAAGAGGAAGATGAGATCATAGCAACGCAAGATATGAAACGCCCAGATCACAAAATTGCAGAATATGAAAAACCCATATCATAAAAAAACGAAAAGTATGATGAGCCGAGATCATGAAAATGCAGAATACAAAGAGCCCAGGCCAAAATAAACAGAAAGGAAAAAGATTTAGAAGGTAATGAAACAGAGCTGAAAGACTTACACGTATGAAGGCATTCGGATATGGTCGTAGCTTCCTTCAACAGCTTATTACAGAGGGGGCATGTCATGCACGCCGCGAGCGTCTCCCTCCGAACTTTCACCACCTGGCTCGTCATCCCCAAGCCTCGCAACCCCTCGGCGCAGCTCTATTGACGTACCAACACGGTGCATGGTAGCAATACACAACAAGGCATGAGATTTGCGTTCATGTTCCTCTGCATAACTGCATTAAGCACGACAAACAATGAAAATCACGAAAGAAAGAGGGAGGAAGACACGAAAATAATGCAAAATAAGAACTGATTTCTTGCTCTCATGAGATGTATGAGACCTCTCGATCCGTCGTCAAAGTGAACGAAAAAACGGATTTTCAGCGGTGATTCGCAAATGGGTCTGGATTATTTGTGAAGAACCGACGTGGGTTTTTGTTGGATTTGGACAAAGGGGTGGTGGATGATCTGTTCGAGGCTCGGAATCGACAGATTCGACGAAAGAGCATGGACCAAGGGAGGTTTTTTATGAAAAACAACGAGTTCGAGAACTATTAGGAGAGGCTCATGGATAAAGTACGCCGCGATGCGCCKATTCGTAAAACTACACATTTTCTCACTCTGAATTCCGGTCCCGCCCGATGACAACAAGCCAACAACATGGTCAGTGATGAAGTCCACCTGAAAAGAACCGCTTAGTTGTCCTYCTCTCCATAACACCGTCAGATTAGAATCTTTTAACTAAGAATGGATTTTGGTAAAAAATAATCTAACGATTTCATCAAACCATCAATTATGATAACAACATGTTCTAATCCAACGGTTCTAAGCAAATTATGACAATCTACCTATCTGGATTTCATCGAGGCGAAGTATAAGATTTCAGAGATTCCGGCGCGCACGGTACGTCGACTAGCTATTGGAATCGAACGTGTCCACGGCGCACATTAGCGAGCAAGGAGCGTACTTATTCCGATCACTTCGCATAAGCGCTTATGTTAGAAAATGGAAAGTCAAAACGTAGAGTAAATATGAAAAGCTAGCGTGCACAGTTCGGTTGGGATCGTAGATCTTATCTTTGATCAGGAGGGAATCAGCATCGGTGGAGCCCACAGGGATCAGACACATTGGATTTCTTTGTGTCAACTAAACCCATGCTTCAGAATCGTTAGATTGGCATCAGATACATTGGATTTCTTGTGTCAACAGGGATCTAAAACTTGATGTCCAGGGCTTGCATTAGCATGAAGGCACTGACGATGGCCCGCTTTTTGTGGCTTTGGTTAATCAGTACTGTCCATGAGATGTACCAATCAAGCGTCTGATCCTTTAGATGATTCCAATCACACGGTGAGAGTTACATCAGGGCTAAATGTTAAAATGCCACTGATTTCTCCAAATAAACGATGTTCTTACTTCTTGCAGTTGTGGGTTAGGTTGGATTTATTACAACTAACAACCATGTTGTTTGTATGAGGCCCATTAGATTGTCCTTTTTCCAATTTGATGTATTTGCAATTCTCCCCACCTTCTACTTCATTTTGCAACAAAACCCACATCTGGAGTTTCAAAATTACAAGAAAGTGAAAAGTAAGAAAACAATGTTTTAGAACCTCGCCCAGGTAAAATACTTTTCTTCCGGGTCAATGGATTAGTGGTTTAACCATTCAGATCAATGGATCGGCCTCATAATATCATCGTATACAAATCCAAAATAATTAAAATAATGCAAAAACCTAGCAACCCATTTAATGGATCAAATAAATCAACAGTTCAACTATATGAGAAAATAAATCAACATTCTTTTTTTTTTTGTAATATAATATAGCGGGTTAGAAATAGAGAATGAGCTATATCACTGGCCTGATTGGCTTTAACGGACAAGGGGTAGAGACAGAACTGCACGTGAGGCCCACTGATGCTACCAAGGTTTTTTAAAACTGAACCGGATAATGAATCAGTYAGGGCCTGGTTTCCAGGTTGAATGGTCTAGTCGTTTGAATCAAATGGATGGCTCGTTCTGATAAAAAAAAAAAAGGTAAAAAAAGGCAAAACCATTTGAYAGTTCGGATGGTTCAACTTCCTGGGTCAATGGTTTGCTGACTAAATCAACTGTTTTTGATAAAATAACGGTTTTGAGGTAAAATGGAACCAGTTCCCGATTTTTCTGGTCCAATTTTGAAAACCATRGATGCTACCACAAAGAGCATGCAATTATGCAAGTTTAATCTTGGGTATTCATATTTGGAGGGATGCCGAGTGACCATCTTAAGTTCTCAATTTTTTTTGGTATTGAATTGTTGCCTTTTGCCCCTATAGGGACTGTATTTCATTTTTACTTAGCATAGTACATCATTTTTTTCAGCAACAATCTAACAACTCTTCTCAAGGGTATGGTGATAGGAGCCGATAGCGGGGCTCGAAACCGTATCCCTTCTAAGACTACCCAGATTAAGCACCAACCAAGCCACTACTCAGTTGGCTAAGTTCTCAATTGTTGGATCATCAGCTCGAGTTAGAAAAACATTTCAATAAACAAAAATGAAAGGCCAACATAATATACTGCGTTTAGCATATATAATAATATGCAAGGAAGGAGGAGAGATTTGGATTCTTTACTTGTAATGTACTTAAAAGAGATGACTTTATTAGATAACGAGCTATTTTTAATTTAATGAAATGGATAAGGATTCTAGATGTTAGGAACAATTCTTGTGAAAGGTTCCTCAATGGCTTTTATTATAGAAGAGAGTGCACAAGCAAATCATACACACACGCACAACTAATAGCACTGTAGATAATAGCTGAAGTGGCTGAATTAATGGCTTATTGATTTGTATTTTAGTGAGGTAGTTAATCAAGGAATTGATGCATACTTAATTGTTTTATAATTTAACTATTTTATCTACTAAAAGATAAATCAACAAGTCATTCAATTCAGTCACTTCAGCCGGTTATGTAAACTCAAAGAACATTGATATGAGCACACCCCTGACAAACATTTTCTCTTGAGAAGATAAAAGTATCCCTGTATGGTACTTTTTGTTATTAAATATAGATTTGGGTTCTTTCCCAGCATGAAATGGATATCAAAAACACATCAAAAGCTAAAGCAAATTGGGAGATTTCATGTTTAAGTGACTGTATTCCATTGAAGTATTTGTATGATTAAAAGAAGAGTGTGCAAAGGTGCAATAGAAGGAAAAGGAAAGAACAAAGCAAGGGATTTTGTGCAAAGTTCAAACTATCTGAATAAATAATGCATTACGTCTTTTCATGATCTGAGTATACTATAACTCCAAAACCTGTAGTGAGTTATTCTCTAGCATCCATTTGTTTTCAAGTCTGTTTGGCATAGTTGTCAAGTTTGTTGTTTTCCCCATCCAACTCTTTGTCCGGACAGGCTTTTTATTGCCAACAAGTTTTAGGCCCATTTTATTAACAAAGGGCCCAAACAGTTTCTTTAAAATATAGATATCACTAATTAAGAAGAACATTCATCAATTTACACCATTTAACCCTTTCATCAGCTCATCAGTATAAACACCGGAGCCTCAGTTTCAGGTCATCCATTTTAAATAGGGGTGCAATTTGGGTGGGCTCGAGTTGAGCAATTCTTAAAATTTGAAGGGATTCCAGGTCCAATCTGAGGGTAGCAGTGTAATTTTTTCAAATTGGGTACTGGTTTTACACCCCAATTCTAAAAACCCTTAAGCTTATCAAAAAAAAGGAAAAAAAAATTATAAAGAATCTAAAAGTTTCATGCTCAAAATCCCCTATATAAAGTGTTCAAATGCAACACCTTAATAGTGGTATATGTATAGAGAAGCTAACCAAGTTGTGGACTGACTAGCCAATACTGGCCATTTCATGGAAATTAACAATCTGTGTAGTCTCATCTTTAGTTTCTTTCAAAAAGAAGAAGAAGAAACATCTAATTCATCCTCTTTCTCTCTCTCTCTCAGAGACAAAAAAGAATTGAAACCAAAGTCAATTTTTTTTTGCTTTTGTTGGCTTATCTTGGTTTGCAATGAATTGAACTGATGTAAAGACTCTTTATTGAGTCACACTGTCCATGTCAAGTCCCACATCTCTGTCCAAGTGCCCTCATTTTTTTAGAGATCATTAGGGATTATGATATACCCTGTTTCATGAGAGATAATGCATATAACCAATGAAGCTCACCCTCCACATCAAAAGAGGGAAAATTTTCAGATAGTCATAATTAAGCTCACCCTCCATGGACTGATTTAAGTTGGTGAAAGCTTCAATCATCTTTCAATTTGAAAACGCTATAATAAAAAGCTCACTTTGACGACATGGTAGGGTAGTGTTCTGAAAGTTGCCATGAAAAGAGAACAGTCAAATGAGCACGTAAAGACCTTTTGACCTAGGGACCATGTATATGCATGTAGAGAAATAGACATCTAATGAGCTTTAACCTGGCATATGTAAAAGGCCATGACTAAATCCTGGTCCACTGGTCCACCCCCCTCCTAATTGGGTGCTGTGAGAGGTGACCAGATGTGGGCCTAATCTTAGACTTGAAAATGCATTTTCATGCTTATCAACCTAGGCCATGTTTGGTTTATAGCTCTGGGCCTCATTCTCTTAATTCTTGTTCATTCTAGACAAGAATAAATAATATTAGAGTGTTCGGTTACAAAGTTCTTCTTAAGGGCACATTCTTTTTAGAATGAAAATTAGCTCCATAGCACAAAAATTGATTACCCTGCAGCATGAAAAATAATCATGCCCCATCTTGTTCATTTAATTCATTGAGGAAACTCTGCCTGCAAAACTGTTGTCATAAATGTTTACTTTTACGAAAGCACTTTTACGAAAGTACTTTTACAAAATATCTATGTCAATTGGTAAACATTGGTTATTGGAGACCTAGGTTGGCGGTTTGTGAATACCAACACAGTTTTTTTTGAAGAATGAAAATGAGCAACATAGGACACTTGTCGGTCTGAAAAGAAATCACTTTTAAGAAAAAAGTGTTTGGTTCACAGCAATATTTTCTCATTCTATGTATTTTTATCCATTCTTCTCCATTTTAGAATTTCATCTTGGGTAAGAATGAGAAAGAATGAGAAGTGAACCAAACGTGGCCCTAATATCCACCGATAGCCGTGAAATCGAGTTCATCTATTGCACTTTTCTTGTACTTCCATTCAATTTGTGACAGATATCCATTCCATCATATGTGTGGTCTCATGCGATGCAATTAGACTTGTTCATGGGCTGGGTCGGGCTTTTACTCTTCATAAACATGACTTTGTTAGGCCTGAGCCCGAGCCTAGCCCGACCAACGGGCCTACAACATGGGCCCAAGCCCGGCCCTAATAAAAAGCCCGAAGCCCGACCTAACAGAAGAAAGAACTCATTGCCAATGACTGTGTTCACCGGTGCTGAGTTTGCGTCTGTGAGAGAGAAAGAAAGAGAGGATTCACCGTCGGTGCTGAATTTGCGGTGAGATGCGATTTTGACAGTGAAAAGTGGAGTCAGTTCGCATCTGAGAGAGAGAGAAAGAGAAGACTCACCACCGGTCTACCGAAGTTGTTGCGCCGATGAATG